GCAGGAGCTGACGGGAGTAGAAGGCTATCGGACAATCACCTGAGCGAGACTCGACAGTGTCGTCCTCGACGATGGTAGGAGAATAGTCAATAGAAGGCTCGTCAGTAGCTGGACGAGTAGGCGTCAGTCGGGAAGCGGTGGTAGGGGTAGGTGTGGGAAGCGAGGGATACGAGGATGAGAGGAATCAGGAGAGGAGGGGAAGACCTAAGAAAACACTGCTCCTACAGCAAAGTCTGACGCATCAGTGGTAAGGATAAAAGGGCGATCGAAATCGGGTAGGTGAAGAACCGGTGCGCATGTCACCGCCTTCTTGAGGGCGCGGAAGGCGTCCTCGTGGAGGGGTGTCCAAGCCCAGGGTGGGTTCTTCCGGAGGAGGGTGGAGGTAAGGACGTAGGAATACCTAGCGTATCCCCGGATGAAATTACTATAGTAGCTGGTCAGGCCTAGGAAGCTGCGAAGCTGCTTGACGGATGTAGGGGCGGGCAACTCCGCAATAGCAGTGATCTTCGCGTCGTCCATGTGGAGACCTTGGTCAGACACGTAGTGTCCTAAGAAATCCACTTTGTGTTGGGCAAAGCGGCACTTGCTCAGCTTGGCGTAGAAGCCATGTCTGCGCAAGCGGTCAAGGACGTCGCGGAGGTGTCTGAGGTGCTCCTCAAGGGTACGACTATAGACCAGGATATCGTCGAGGTAGACGAGAATGTACTGCTCCAAGATGTCCCTGAAGATGTAGTTCATCGCCCTCTGGAAGGTAGCGGGTGCGTTGGTGAGGCCGAATGGCATCACCGTGAACTCGTAGTGGCCGAATCGCGATCGGAACGCGGTCTTCGGCTCGTCGGCTGCAGCGACGCGGATCTGATGGTAACCGCTACGAAGATCGATCTTCGTAAAGAAGCGGTTGCTTGCTAGGGGGTCGAACAACTCATCGGAACGAGGCATGGGGTAGTTGTTCTTAACCGTGTAGCGGCTGAGACCGCGGTAGTCGATGCAGAGACGAAGTGTTTCATCCGCTTTGCGAGCAAAGAGGACAGGTGCACCCCACGGGGAGTTGCTAGGTTTAATGAAACCCAGTCTCAGGAGCTCCTCAAGCTGACGCTTGAGTTCGGTGGCCTCGGGGATCGAGAGCCTGTAGGGTGCCTGGTGGTGAACACGATAGTCAGGCACAAGCTGAATGGAGTGCTCGACGTCAAGCATCGGTGGGATGCCGACGTACGAGAACGACGATGGGAAAACGTCGTGGTACTCTCRGATGAGGTCACGAACTGCGGGCTCCAGGTCATCCGTATAACGTGCGAGCTCCTCAGCGTCAGCGTCAGCACGCGACGGCGGAGTGGACTCGACGGACGACGGAGGGACGGAAGTAGAGATAGGAGCCATGGAGATAGAAGGAGGATCTGGCTCCAGAGAGATGAGCTCGGCGTCGGGACAGGGTGGATCATAGTGTAAGAGATCCGTCACGTCCACCATAAAGAAGGTGACGTCGTCCTGTCGGATGAAGTGGGCGAACTGCCTAGGCGAGGTGACAGTGATCGAAGGAGATGGTGTGGGCACGGAAGGCTCCGGGGAAGGAGGATCGGGGCGTGGTGTCGCAGTGGTACCTATGAAAGGTACGCGATACGTCTGTCCACACTTCGTTTTGAGAACGAGAGTGTTGGTCGCCCAATCGGCCTC